GACTGCATCAAGGTGTTAATAACCCAAACTGATAGTAATGTCATAAAGACACAAGAGGGAGGTTTTTCCAAAGAAGATATATTTTAGTTGTCTCAGGTTCAACTTGATGTAATATACAGTTATCCAATACATTAGCAGTTCATACTTAATGATTAATAGCAGCATAACCTCCTACCATGCTATATATACCAGAGGCTTCCTTTGTAAAAATCATTTTAATACTTTCTACACCATTTTATTATTTGCAAAGAAATGTAAACCTCACTATCAAAAAAGAAGAAAAACTAAAATGTATTCATTTCTATGAATTTGCTTCCACATATTTCCAATTTATTTAGGGAATCCAAAGTACTCTTGACAGAAACCACCTTATCCTTTACTGACAAGGTCTGATCACCAGGATCTGATTTTCGCGAACTTCCCATAGCCCATTGATTTCCAATCTCTGATCTTTTCTCCTTTCCGCCTGTGTTCAGAGAGCCTCTTTTTTTTTTTTTTTTGGGTCAATTCCCTCCTGCTCTCTCCATTACACTTCTACCAACCACTTTTTTTACCTCAAATCAAAATCTATTTTTCAATCTTCAAAAGTCCACATTTCTCCTCTCCCAGAATATTTCCTTGACACCACATCTACCTCACTATTTTTGTTTCCTTTATAAACAATCAATGAAAGAAAGTGGGGCCATCTTTATGTTTCGCTTCCCTCCATCTGCTCCCTAATCCTTTTCAGCCAGGAGGGACCTGTTCCACCCAGTGGAAGGATTCCTCCTGAAGGTCACAGGCATTCTCAGGGACACTCTCTTTGCTCAAAGTCTTTAGTGCCACTGACTTGCCCATACACATCCCATCTCTCCTTCATTCTCTCTTCCTTGAGTGATTCAGATACTCGGCTTATATTTTCTTCCCATTTCTTTGGCTATTTCTTCTCTTTTGTCATTTCCTGTTTCCTGTCATTCCTTTATTCCATCACGTAGGATTTATTTCACGCTTCAGCCAATAGTTGCTTTTGTTAGGCCCTTTGGGTCTTCTCACCTCCTCGCATGATTTAAACTGCCTTTACCTAAGCAGATATGTCCTCACCCAGGTATGAGGCCTGAACCATTGTTCATGGCAGTTAGATAATGTGAGTATCAAATTGTGCTACACCTTCACCCGGCCATTTCTCTAGCATCTCAAAATCAATGTATTCTCTAACTATAAATTCTGCAACTGCCTTGCCCTCATCTCTTGGTTTAAAATGGCCATCATTTGGTGGGGGTGGTGCCTGGTGGTTCTGTCGGCTGAGGGTCCACTCAGGCCATGGTCTGCAGGGTTCTGTGAGTTCGGCCTCCCATGTCAGGTTTCAGGCAACAAATTGCCTCAGAGCCTGAGCCTGCTTCAGATTCTGTATTCCCTCTCTCTCTCCTCCCTGCTCATGCTCACTCTCTCTCTGTCTCCTCTTAACAATAAATGTTAAAAAAAAATTTTTTAATGGCCATCATTTGAGCTTTTCTTGACTCTCAGAGCTTACCACCAAATTGGAATCTCTCTCTTGATCTTTCAATCAGTTAATATCACTGCTCCTATTCGCTTCGCTCTTCCTCATCTCTTCGGCCCGATTGATGTGGAACACCCACTGCTTGTGCTGAGTAATCCCACCCTGCCACCACCTGTAAGTCGAGTAATCTTAAATCCACAATTTTATCATGCCTTTCCTATGACTAAAAAAACTTTGATATTTCTTCCAACTGCACACAGAGATTTAGTGTTAGAACTGGAAAAGGTAACTACATAATTTAGTTCGCCCCGTCGGTTTTAAAAGTCGAAGAAAACCATGCTTAGAATTTGGGAAGTTATTGAAAGTTTCGACTCTACCAAGTACTCTTTTTATCCCATTATTTGTTTTGAATATCCAGTAAGGTGACTTCAGCATTTCATTCAGACACGAGCAAAAGAAGTCAACAAGGTCAACACAACATATTTTTTAAGCAGACTTGGCAGTTTTTTAATTACTGATTCAATGAGAGTATTGACACTACGGTGAAAACCTACTTTGGTCTTCTGCCCAATTGCCTCAAGGGAAAAAAAAGAATGGACCCAGCTTCTATAAAGTTGGAAGGTCGGTTAGTCATCTGCTAGTTCTTCCAAACAAACAGTAAGCTCCTGACACTGCAGTGTGTGTGGTCAGGAAGCAGCTAGCATGAGATGAATAGATGCCTAACACTTCTGTAGCTATAAGAAACGCTTCCTAAATCAAATAAAGAGCATCTCCACACCCCATCTTCCACACCACTAAATAGAGAGAAGAGTGCCCATGAGGTCTCACAAGTAAAGCAAAAAGTAACATCAGCTTAATTCTGCACCGCTGAGGACTCCTCACTTACCCAGTTACTTGTCGCTAAACCATTTGGGCACTACTTTTTCTGCCCAGAATCACTATTATTATTGTGTTATATAGCCATAAATGTATTCCAATCATAAGGCTATATATGGATAGATTAAAATCAGAATTTTCCTCTCAAAGTATGTACACACTTCTTTGCGTACTTTGTATTTAGTAATTTAGTGGAACAGACTATCTTCATTTTTTATTTAAAACCCACACCTCAAGCACAAATTTCATTTCAGCTGAATTGTTGTGGAGGGTATTTAGCCAAATTAATGTCCAAAACTCAATTTCTTCAGTCTGCAAAATAGAGATACATAAATCTACTAAACTACATGTATTTCTGAAGATTGAATCATGCGTTTCTACATGTTGGTCTAGTAATAGTCACCATTCAAGGAATTGTAGAAGTGATAATACTAATCAACATTAAAATAATATACAATGAAATATCAAGTCCTATAAAAAATTATCTTACACTACTCTATTACTGCTTCAAAATAAATATTTTCCGAGTATCATTTATACATAATTTTAAATAGGTATTAGAAATTTTATTTTTTTAGTCTAGTGGTGAGGCTGAAAACTATAAAAGTAATTTATTATATTTTAAAATTACTGTTGTTATATTATAATGCAGCTATAATTTCTTTTATCAATGATACAGATGAAATTAATCGTGATAATAATTTTTCTATCACGACTCTGAAAAAATTGAAATAGAAGTTGAAAATTTCTTATTTAGAGAGAAATAAACACAAGGGTTTACCAACTTTAATGATTCTGAGCGTGTTAAAACTTAATAACTACTAGCCTTTCAATACATGCTAAGTTTTAGATAATTGATATATTAAACTTAATATATAAGTGTCTGTCTTTTAGAAATGTTTTAGTTTTAGAGAAAAGAATTTAAATTATGATCTTTCACTTACAAATCATATGTAACGATTGAGGCCAGAGCTGCAGAGGCAGACTCTGAGTAGTTGTTTGTTGGACAGGAAATTGCTTAAATCTGAAGAAAAGACTAATGGAAACTGCTACCCACTAATTTGTCCTAAATGCCTGCAATTTCTTCTAGATGATTTAATATATCACTTCTTTTTTTTTTTTTTTTTTTTTTTTTTTAGTG